AGGGTACTGCAAGCCATAGAAAGTATATAAAGGCAATGCTTTAGAAAGCTTTGTTTATTGATTTTATGTCAATACTAGATATGTTCATAAAAATGTATTTTATGATTTAATTAAATCATACACTGACAAGCACCACAGAAATATTATTAAATAATGTATAAAATACGTTTGATTAAATTAAGATTTAAGTAAATATACTTACTGTACGGTTAATTACTACAGCAAAATAGTCCATCAAATTTTCACCATAAAAAAAGTAATTGGAAGTAATTAAGAAATACCATGACAGAGATCTAAACCATGGTAAACCATGAATTTTATAAACTGCATATCCAATGTTAATAATTTCTTGGAAACATTTTACTTGTACAATTAATGTCTGTAAAAAGGTATAAAAAATCTATTTTTAGTAAAATACATAAAGAAAAAAATAATTCTTTCAAATGGACATATATTTAAAAATGAGTAAATGAAACTTACTGTAGCCATCAATGCCAATGGTCCAATATAAATAATACCACAAAATCCAGCAATCATAAAGAATGCAAAAATACTCCTAACTATCCAATTTTTCCAGCTATAAAAATTTTATTTTTAATATCCAGAGATTTATATTGATATTTTATATCAATGCACATATATACAGGGTATTCACACCATTAGTTTCTATTGTTTTACTTGTAAGTGGTAGATTTGTAAGAAAAATAGAAGATGACAAAGTTTCACTATTTTTTTATGCAGTGTGATAGCTTGAACAAGTTTTTAAAATTTGCAGTAATTTTCATGTAATGACGATACCATGAATTTTGTTTAATTGATAGCTATAATTTTTTGTATTATATTAAAGCAGCTGTTGAGATGAGTTCAATGACAAGTTCAAAAAACAATGGGAACTAATAATGTGAACACTGTGTACACATATATTATTCATTTTATTACTCTAAAAAGCTTTACCGTTCAGGTAAGCCAGAAAGAACTGAATCCAAGATATGTGGAGTATGATCTGTCCCTTGTGGTAAGGTCTTAGCCAATTCAACTTCCAACTTTGCATCATCTTCTGATTCCACATCTTCTTTCTATAAAATATATAATTCAAGTTATTTATGAATATTATAACAGAAAATTTGGTGTAAACTTAGAGAAACTTATATTAACATTTAATTTAATTAAAACTAAGGATATT